ATAAATATTATACATTATGTAAATATGTAAATAAATAAATAAATAAATAAGGATTACAAATGTGTACCCCCAATCCTCAAACTCAGAATTGCAATCCCATGTTGGTCTAGGATGTTTCAGTTGCAAAAAGTGTCCCCAAATCTCCAAATGGTTGCAATCAATATCACGAAATAGAGTTTTCTACTTTGTACCACTGTATCGCAGAACACAAGTATTTGTTTCTGACTAATTAAGGTTTTATGTATTTATATATTTTATGTTTTTAATGTTTGTTGTGAATCGCCCAGAGTTCCCCCATTGGGGGGGAGATGGGAGGTTGGAAAAAATTAATTAATTAATTAAATAAATAAATAAATTTGAGTTCTCAATTCTAAAATCTTATGGTTCAAAACTGTAAGCCTAAACACTATTAATTGCATTAATTATTCATTATAATTTGGAGCTTCTCTACTATAAGCCCCCCCAAATAAATTCTAGAATATTTTCCAACTTTTTGCAGACCAGATTAACTATAGGATGTTTATGTTTTCCCAACAAATATATCCCAGTGACCAGCAAGGAACCTCAAACACAATTAACAATACGGTAGTATAATAAACTGGGCATGGCCATGTCATTTCGGTCACTGCAAAAGCATTTGTAGAAATAGTATATTTCAAAGAGCTATATGGTGAAAGATTCAGGGCTTCTCCACACAGTGCACAGCTGAAACTGTGGAACTCACCAACACAAGATGTAGCAAGAGCCACCAACTTGGGACGGCTTAAAAAAGAAATAAAAAAAAAATCATGGCTACAAGTCATTGTGGTTAGAAATTATGTGGAAGGGGATGTAATTTCTGCTCCCAAGTGCTGGTTAAGGACTTATGGCTTCTCAAAAGTATCTGGATGGACCTGAATGAGGACTGTTTAGGCCTCTGATCAGATCCAGTACAGATCCTCTTGATCTAAAACTGCCCATGCACGATGGGTTCCACAGGTCTTGCGCAGAATGAAGAATGTGAAGCCACGCTTGTTTTACTAGGAACAATTTGGCTAAAATCTGGGGAAGCTGAGAATGATACATACAGAATTTAATGATTAAGCCTTGTTTTACTAGGAACAATTTGGCTAAAATCTGGGGAAGCTGAGAATGATACATACAGAATTTAATGATTAAGCCCTCGTTTCCCCTTTCTCTTTCTCAGATATTGAGGCTGTTTATATTGTAAGTCGCCATAGAAAAATAGATCCCAGCCAGAGACCTCCTTTGAGAAGATCCCAATCATGGTCGTAATAATTAATAATAATATTTACAATGGCAGCAACACATTATATTGCAAGGGCATGAAGGTTATATTGCCTAAAATTGAGAGAATGCTCTCAGATGTTTTAAAAATATGAATTATGATGTTGATCATCAATGGATATGTTATTAATGCAAGACTCTTAAGTATGCAATGCTATTTGCACCCAGGAAATGTCACTGAATTTGGCAGGAGACTAAAACGAACCCAGGACTGCACTGTCGTTGCTCAAAAGCTTTCATATACATAAACCATAAACTTTCTTTAATGCACAGCTACAACTACCTTGTACGGTACCATTATTCCACATTGCAACTCATGGTGACTGGGGGCTGGGATCAATGTTTATTTTCTTATTTATTAAATATACGTACCTCTACATTGAGCAATTATTGTCGCATTATAAGGGAAAGTGTGGCCTAAAAGCAGGTGGTAGAGATTCAATCCTGCCACTTTTGACTGTTTTTGGCAAAATGCTGGCCTAGCAAACTGCCCTTCCACCTCTCCCCCATTCTTGTTTTTTCCCTCCTACAATATTCCTTTCCTACTGGACCAATTCCACTGTAGATTTACCAGGCACCGATTATCTTTTCTGTAAACTCCGTAGCAGTGCCCTGCGGTCAGAAGGCGCTGAAGCTGGCTTTTGCGAGTGAATAAAAATAAACTTTCCAGCACCATGTTAAAGATCTGCTCCTTACGATTGCAGGGTCCTGTCCGACGCTAACTTCCCTATTTGCAGACAGATCCTAAACAAGACTGTATTTGTCCAGATGCTGTTGAAATATTCTACAGTAGTTTTATCTGAATGGTTTTCTGGTCGTTTGCATTTTATCCTTCTTTTCTGTGCTGTGCTGATATTTTTACCTTAGGCTGGTCACAGATCATAATCCAATTTTTGGACTCCTTCCCTTTTCCTCTTTCCACTGGGATAAACTCCGTCGCTGACCACGAACAGAGTGATCGACTCCCACTTTCCACCTCGGCGGCTATTTGCAGAAAATTAGGACGAGAGCAAGCAATAACTGGAAAGGGGAGCCTCAAGCTTTGAAACAGCCTTTCCTGCAAAGAACACCTCCAAAAGCAACCCCCCGAACACGTTCCCCCCCCCTTTAATTCTGCTGCCCATTCATTCTTTACGAATTAGCCTCCCGGATGGCTTACCTTTTACGCACCTGCGCTCAGGTGAGTTGCTGCTCGTGTTTCAATCTCCCTCCTTCAGCAGCGAATGCTCTGCCCAAGCCCCGTCGCCAGTACCGGATAAACTTCTCTTCTTGCAAACAGCATCGCGTTAATTGCAAAATACTAAGAGGAACAATGCAAAGTAGTATTATTTTGCAAAAGGCGCTAACGCTGCTGCCTCGGCAATTTAGCGCCGGACTCGCGCTAGACAATTCGGCCCGGACTCGAAAGGATGCTCTTTTGCATAGCGGCACCTCCTGCTTCTTCCTCATTGGCTCTGCCTGGCCGGGTTATTTGCATTGAGGGATCCCATTGGGGGAATAGAACTATGGATCTTACGTACCACCCCAAACCGGATGGCTACTAGCTCCACCCACAACGTGGTTTATTTGGTTAAAAAAAAAGCAGAGTCATTTGTGCTCGGTTTGAAGCCTGGAGTTTCATTCCCACGTGCACGTGTCAAGGACGAGATATTTCTAAAAGCCCTTTTCTTAAATATTATATTCCATCTTGCATCGAGTGCCGCTGTCACGAGGAAATTGCGAATGCAATTTTTATTTACTTTTATGTATTCCTTTATTTATTCATCAAATTTGTCACCGCCCATCTCGTGAAACAATAATCGGGAGAGCACGGTAATCCTGTGAGCGTTACGATGTTTACTGCGTTAGATGCGTGCTGCTTCATTAAATCCGTAGCAACAGAGTTCTAGCATTAGCAGGAGGCTGCATTAGGTGACACTTACCAGTCGGTGTATACATTTTATCTGTACAACAGCCCTGTGAGGTAGGTTTGGCTGAATGATAATGGCTGAACCATGGTTCACTGAGTTAACCCAGTTGTGGGTTTGCGCACACATGGAGCCATAAACTGGCCAACCCCACTTTCCCCAGCAGGTTGTGTGAAACGGGCCGTCGTGAACGGTCCCAAGCAGAGGAGACTCTGAACCCAGCCTTCTCCAGGGGTCTTCTGAATCTCTGCCTCAGAGATTATCTGTGGCCCTTCGGAGCAACAACGCATCAACATATTCCAACAACTGGTGAGCCAATTTTTTTTTCAAATATTTTATTAGGATTTCTGTCAGAGTACCGGTATTTATTTGTTAGAGATATATCCCATTCTGGAGCTCAAAATGGCAAACATAGTGATTCCTTCTCCTATTTTTCCCCACAACAGTCTTGTGAGGTAGGTTGGGCTAAGAGAGCAATTGGCCCAAACAGGGAACTTCATGAGACAACAGTGGCACAATACACTTGAGAAGTGCTACATCTGCACAATGTGGGAAGCTTGGATAGTTTGAAGTTATTTTGGGGGGCCGATTACGTTCTCTGAATCTGGGCCACTAGATTAGTTCCTGCTTCAGCACGCAGTTACAAACGCAGGAAATGGATTAATTCACTAATCTGTATGTTGGCAGAATGACATCCTGTATGCATAGGAGGGTGGAAGTTGCATTGGAAGATATAGAAATGCTGAAGATACTTAGACCTTGGAAAAAATGGCTCAAATGAAGAGAAACACAACTTTGAAAATAACAACAGCAGTGAACATGCACAGAGATCATAGAATGCTGGGTATTCATACAGGGTGGGAATGGAATATCCTTGAAAAGGGCATTTCTTTTTGGCTGGCACACTGCAAAAAGAAAATTCAACTCTACTTAACATCACCAGTTTAAAAAAAGTATGTTCAGGGCATAATCTTCTGGGTGTGGCAACCCAAGTGTGGTATTTTTCCCCAATTGTGCTTTATTTTATCCCATTTTTAAAAAATGTAAACTTGCTAAAGCCTTTTACGCGATTTTAAATAATCTTGGGCCATTTAGTTTGCCGTTGGTTGTTTGGGTTATTTATCTTTTAATTCTTTGTTGTAAACTCCAGTGAGAATAGCTGATTAAAGCATGATATAAAAATAAAATAGAATTCGAGGCCTGCACCATCTAGATAGCTCTTTAAATAGCCACAAAGACAAAGTAAGGTTCAGCATGCATGAAATCTAGGACAGGCAACTACAGCATATTATACATGCTTGTTGAAAATGGTTATTCTAATGTTTGCCATCCCGAGTTAGTAAAGCACTCTACATGTTCTCAGGGGCATCAACTCGAGACATCAGAAATGAATTTCCTGGAGTTGTATTTGCTATCTTCTCATTGTCCTCAAGAAGCAAAGCCAATTTAGTGCCAAAAAAAAAAAATTCCCTGTTGCAAATTTTGCATATTAAAGATTGCACAATCCAGCCCAATTTAAACACTTAAAAAAAAAAACCTAGATGACTTCTTTAAAAAGTTTCAGTATGTATTTAAATATTTCAGGGTAAACTCAATGGGGGTGAAAATTACTTGATCATAGCTAGATGGTGTCTCAGAGATGCTGAGTTTTCTCCTGGTGTAGAGCTTCATTATTGATAGTTAGACTTTTTTAATGACCTCTCTGATTAAAAAACAAACAAACAAACCCTCATCCAGTATTTCTCAAACTTGGCAACTTTAAGACATGTGGACTTGGGATTTGAAGTCCACATGTCTTTAAGTTGCCAAGTTTGAGAAACGCTGCCCTGATCCAAATCAACAATAACACCTGCTCCATTTGCAATAATTTCACTGGGTTCTATTTAAATTAATAACTTTTATAAACAGTGCATTTCTCCCCTCTGGTGCAACAATAATGCTTATTAATTAAAAGGATTTTGCTTCTTTCCCACAAAACTAGGAAAACAAGATAGAGGAGACCTGGTCTTCTGTTTAAAGGTAGACTGCTTCTATTGAGAGAGGACCCATTTAGCTATAGTAGCTAATAAATACTGATAGCTTTAATAAAGAACATAAGGAAGAGGTTTTAGGCAATGTACAAATGTCTGCATTCTTATAGGAATGGAGCAGCATAGAAATATTAATAAATACATATGCAACGTTTCGACAATATACTTATCCTGGTTAATTATCCCGTTTTCTGAGTTTGTAAAATACACTAACCCACAAACTAACCAAATAGCCAGGACTCCACAACTATATGCCATAAAAAAAAAAATTAACCAAGGCAAATATTAACTTCACATGTTGTGGGAATATATCTGCTCAGTCTTTGCCTGACCTGGCTAATTGTGTTGTGTGAACATAGCCCCGCATATTCACATCAGTGTGGGTAGAACCAATTTTTTTCCCTCTCTCCATGCTGATATCCAGGTAGAATTTCAAAAAGTCAAGAAATCTCCTCTTTTTTTAAATCTCAGAATTTCCACTACGAAGTGCAGTCTGGGACGCTGGAAATCTCCATCCTGTGAGTGCCAAGCAGTTTGATCCCTGGTTCGCTCTTAGTAAACCACTCAGCTCAAAAGTCCACATATTCTTGGAACCTCTACTTCTCCCTATGTGTGGTACATTATGGGCTAGATTTGTAAAATCCAGTCTAAAAATGAGGTTGGGGTGTTTGCAGTTCAAGATGTGCTGAGGAACCCAGCCATTGGCTCAGCAGGTTGTGTGAACCAGGCCGTTGCATTAAGTCATAGGGGTTTGGGGTTTGGTACAGGAACAGAAGAATTGCATTCTGTGAACCTTCATTCAGTGTGTTGCATAAGCTGAGACGTTAGAGTCACATATTGTGCAAACCCATAAATCATGGTTTGTAAATCACGGTAGCAGGGTTCATATAACATGCTAAGTGAAACTCAAACACTAACTCCTGGCTTCAAGTGATGTTTGAAAGCAGCTGTTTTGTGAGGCAGCTGTATTCATGATGGTTGGGATCCCCTGTTTGGCAAGGCCCTTTCGTTCCCCAGAACTGCTCTGTAAACTTATCAGAGCTTTTTAATTTATGCATTTTCATTTTTTTTTAATTGAGGCATGCTCTTTAATTTTTCAAAATGTATTGGGGGCACACTAGTCATGGTGGAGCAGTTCTGGAGCTGCCAAGAAGTGTGGAATAGTTTGCTCATTTTGACTTTCAGCCAGCCACATAGCCAAGCCCTTTTGAATGATGGGCTATTCCCTGTTTTAAATGTCCCCTCCACATAGACATGTACCATAGACAAGTAACCCGTGGAATATAGAGAGGGAAAGCCTTAGACAGCCCTCCAAATCATCTTTATTACAGTATTATTGTTGTTGATTAATTTATAAGATTTATAAACCTCCTCACTCCAGAGGCTCTAGGTCAGGGGTCGGCAACCTATGGCCCATGGGCCAGATATGGCCCACCACCTGAAATCATGTGGCCTGTGTCCCCAAAAGAAATATATTTACCTGGCCCACCTGAGAGAGAGAGAGCTCACTGCTTCACCAGCCAGCTCAGTGCAGGTGGAACAAGTCCCGGGAAATGGTGGTGGCGTAGCCTCTGGCCCCTATGCAGAAGGTTGCCAACCCCTGCTTTAGGGGGTATACAAGGAATAGTATAATACAAAGCAATAAAATTGTAAATAATAGCGCTTTTTTTTACGTCTGCAAACCTTGTATTTGGTATCTGTCGATTCCTCCCTCTTGGGCATGGATGTGAAATTTGGGAATACATAAATCACAATGAGTGGGTCTATGTGTGTATACCTGCATATCTGGATTTCCTCAAGTTTTCCTCTGACAAGCTGTAAGTTTTGCCATTTGTAGTAATGAGTAACATCGAGGAGGTGTTTTCTCTCTTCTCTCCTCTCCTCTCTTTTCCGCTTTTGGCCACACCTATGCACGGCTGTCTGCTCTCCCTGATAGATTCCTGAGTGGCTGACGGATCCACGATCCTTGGAGAACGAGAGAGCCGGATTCCCTGGAGAAAAGTTTGTGTTTACAAGAGCTGGAAAGGAAACTGATGCAACCAACAGCCTCCGGTTACATGTGAACTGATGGCAACCGACCAGAACAGCTAGGCTCGGAGAGGCTAACAGACGCCAGCACCCTGTCCTATCTTGGCTCAGGAAGGTTAAGAGGTCCTAGTCTGCTTCCCCTGTTCCTATGTTCAGAAAAATCCAGGATAAGACTTCCTCGTGTAGGATTAAAAGCCTTGTTAACACCAGGAATTTGTTCTGATTATAGAACGGGGCTGTTTTTATAGGTGACCCCAGATGTAAAAATACAAGCCTCGTTTTTCCGACCTCTCGCTGGGGAAAACCAGGGGTTTAAATTTGGACCGGATGCAGAGAAACCCAAGTTCAAGTCCTTTAAAAAGCTCAAAGAATACTCTAGGCCAGTGTTCCTCA